ATGTAACAGCATTCTCCAAATAAATATGCAGTACTCATCACCATTTGTGATCCTTAGTCAACGGTGGGAATTCCATGACAGATAGTGTTTCCCCTTTAGGTGAACATCAGAAAATAACTGTTATGTTCTCACAAATTTGCCGAATTTTATCAAACCTGAATTCGGATGTTGATGCGCTGATGCGCTGATGTGCAACCCCTAACTGGGATTTAAATATATGCAATATATCCTCCTTTAAATGCATTCCAATTCATATATATATATATTAAAATGCCTATTAAGTGCACCTTTACATCTACATGTATAAAACACACACACACTTTTACCTCCCCTTCTCACCCAAAACGTATGAAAATATATTCTCTATAAGGCACAATCTGCTGCTATGGCCTGGGGTTCATTGGCCCCGTCTGCCTCACCGGAGGAGAGGTTGTTGGGGGGAAATTTGTCATCAGAGCCAACATGACAGGACATGTAGACACAATTACTCACCAAGCACCCCCGGCATGCGAACCTGCCCATGCACACACCGTGGGTATGAAATAAATAAAATGAGACGCACACTTACCACTCCTGCACATACAATTTGGACTAAAATGTTAATGGTAATTTATGGAAATTTGCAAAGAGATTCTGTATTTGTACGTCTGCAGTGGGGAGTAGTGTTGCAGTGACTCTCACACGGCACTACAATCCTAGATAAGTATGATTAAACAACCGCCATGGCTATTATGGCATGGGAAGGCCTTCATCCAGCATTGGATTGACAAAGGGCTTTACAAAAACAAAGATCCCCCGTATAGCCTTACAAGACTGTTGGGGAAAGTGCTGTTAGCGAGCACCTATGAAGACCGACACCCACACGAGGGGATGGATGGCCAGCACCATCCCTGACCGCCTTTGTCTACCCAGTGACGATGCTTGCACACTGCACCAGGTACTCATTTGAGGCTGAGTCGACCTAGGCGAGGCCCAGGACCGATTCAGATAATCGTCACTGGTGTTCGTGGCAGCACGGTAACCGTTGCACTACAGCTCCCTACTAAAGGGCTGTACATAGACACATGCACACACGTGCACATTGCAGTTAAAGTCAAGTCGAAGGGGGATCCCTGCTCAAACGAGCATTTGTTTCGTGCTCATCTCCATTGGGGGCCCTGGGACAGCAGTTAATGTTCCACATTCATACTGAGAGAGCCAGTCCTCTCCAATGGACATCCACTGTACGGAATTCACACAGTGATTCTCATTTACTTCACCTTGGAGAGTTGATTAACTTAGCGAGCCACCCTGTCTGGGATTTAAACTCATGACCACCAAATGTGAGTCAAGTGCTATAACTACAGCAGTCCCCGGCCAGATCAATGCAAATTCACAAAGTTTTGTATTGAATACGATTAATGAAGTGGAAACAGAAAATGATCAATACCTGCATTTTGGAAAAACCATTAATTTTTAAACAAATATATAGTGTATATTAGTCTGAAATCCTTCCTAATAGATAACAGCAATTTTTGTTAATAAATGAAGGGCATTTTTAACTCCTGATAAAATGCTGTGATTACTTTTTTATGCCGTTGACCTGAACAAACCACGTTTGTGTTCCTTGCAATAAGGCAAGCAAGTGCGTGCATGCATATTGGCATGTGGATGTGTGTATCATGAGACCTCCTTTGCCAGTACCAAAATATAAGAATAAGTTTTCCCCTTTTTTTCTGGCAACAAAACTGAAACCTTTTTTTACAAGGAATTATGTCTGCATTAACCACAATACTTCTGCTAATATATGCATTGTCCTTGAAACTGACCAATCAAACTGACCAATCAGTTTCAAGGACAATGCATATATTAGCAGAGTGTGTTTTTTGTTTGCATTCTGACCATAAGTATTGTGGTTAACGCAGACATAAAAAAGGGGGAAAATCATATTCTTAGATGTGTGTACATGCGCTTCATAGGTGCTCGCAAAACAGCACTTGCCCGAGCAATCTTTTAAGGCTATACAGGGAATATTTGTCTTTGCACGCGTCTATGTGCACGCTTGCATATGTCCGTGTGTGTTTTGTGTGCGATCGTGACGATGTTCAGGCGAAAGTAATGGATTTGAAGGGAAACCACACAACCCGCCGGCACAGTCATGTAGGGGCTTGGTTGCTGTCAGGGTGAGTAACTGATGATAGCTATTTCCCAATTCTAAAGATGCCCCCTGGGATACGGTCTGAGCTTTGTTGATGCGTGTGACAACCACTGGGCCGAGGGGCTTTTATCAGCTAAAGCTGTGCACACATTGGGCATATTCGCAAAGGTGCTTAGAGTCACAACCCACAACATGTACTGCATGTCCCGAGTCCCATCGCCTGCTCTCCACCCCATAAACGTCCCAAAACAAGAAATACCATGTCCTCCTCATCCAAATTTAAATATAACTAAACCCATCGCACTGTTCGCACAAGTGCGTGGCTTGATGGCTTCTTTAAAGCAGAGATGTGCAGTGTTAGGGGAGTTACTTCTGAAAGGCGTTTGGTATCGGATTACTGTTGAGGCAAGGTTTCAGAAGTGATGTAACAACAAGCCTGTAGTTGGTATTTTCGATGTTACTAATAGAACCACTTTTGTTATATTTCTGCAAGTTAACTGCATTATGTTTTTTTAACTATGGGGATAGTACCACTGCTGATTTGAGGGACAACAGTATGTATCTATATGCTTTGATTTTTGCTGCACTTTCCATAAATCTAAGCTGCTGACATGATGATCATTTACCCACTCTAAATTTGTTGGAGTAAGTTACTTATTAAATAAGAAAGAATACCAATGATTTAACTGGTCTATGCCAAAAATAAGAATCTGATAACACACTCAATTGGGGTATTATATACAGTCAAGGAATAAGCATTACCTGCTGTAATTTCATGACTGTAAATACACTACTCTTTGGATGTGTATTGTTCCACTTTGACTATTATCAAGATCAAACACTGTGTCCTTCATTTCAAACACTGAATGTGTATGCAGTCATGAATGCAATCGTTCTTATAATGCATGTTAAAGTAATTAACGACAATTGCCCCAGGTATTTTAAACTGAATTAGAGTGCAATATTACGTTTTATTACTATTGGTACGGCATTGCAATGTAAACAAGTGTATTGTGTGTTTGCGCACTGTTTTTTGTACTCTAAGTATTTATGGTTGGATTGCACAGTTGGTCAATCAACTCGCGAACGGAAGGCGCCGAGGTCAAATCCCAGCCGAGGGTTGACTCATCCCTCTGGGGGTCGATTATATCGGTACCACTTCGTCGGGAAGTCAACCAAAAATACTTTTCCTGTCATGGGAATGTGGACTTTTCACCAATGCCTTACTGTATTAACGGGGATGCACTTTGAGTTGATGTTCATGCGAATATTTTGAAGACCATGTTAGTTATACTATTTATAAAATGCTTACATGCGGAACGGCGATTGTTCAATCAAAACTTGACCCAGAAATATAAGCAGAATCTGTTCCAAATCTGTATAGACAGCTGCAGTTTTACAGGGCAGCATATATACATTTCCACTCAAGTTCTTTTAAAGAAAAAAAAAACATTTAGTTTGGGAATAACCAACATTTTACTAGTGAGTTATCAAATTTAGATGCAAGTTGATATTTTCAAGTAAACACTGGGTTTCAGGACCTCAATCTTCACTGAAGCCTTGAATCAGTCTAAACGCAAGTAATGTGTATAACCCGGTAAGAGCCCAATTCACATGGCTTGGAAAACATAACAATTGGGCCGATGCCAGCTTCAACGTTCTTATATGTCTGTTAACCAAAAAAATCAACGCCTGCCAATGCAGCATCACCAACTAATTATTTCTTTCACACATTGCTGCTGGTACATCGGCATGATTGGTTCAGCAGAGGCGCAGGTGGTGTTTGTGAGTGGCAGCACCACTTCCCAACTGAATAATTCTGGCACCAAACAAGCAAATCTGAAATTTCTGAATGTTCTCGTCTTTCATTAGAACCACACTAATTACTCCCATTCAGCTGTTATTGTTGGTTTGAGGCTCCACACCACACCTTACTGGGTGTTTCCCATGTTATTACTTGTGAGTACATGGGCGTACTGTTCTAAAAACCCCAGGGCTTTGACGAGATTGGGGTTTTGTTTACTTTTATTATTTATTTTCATGAGACGATTAGACGTACGCACACACACATACCTTAACGTGCACTTCACATTATGTTCATGTGTATTTGAAATGCTATTGTTTGCATATTAGTATGATTTCTAAAGGAATACAATGCTGCGGAAATTATTTCCAAATACTTTTCCTGATCTATGCTTCTCACAAACGAATGTGCTTTGATGAAGAATGTCTACCTATTTTTGATATCACAGTTTTAGTATCAACTCAAAAATCAACAAATTAACACGTGCACACAGATACATACATGTATGCATATCAAAATATGTATACACACAATCTTCGTCCACGCTCATACATTTATAGTGACATCGCTGGATGTCAACAGGCTGTGGGTGCAATACCGGCTCTAGAGGGGCACGGCGTGCGCTGAATAATAGCGCTAGTGGCACCATGCTTTAAGTGCAGTGCCGACCCGACAGGACAAGGTGTGTGGGTGCCGACCTAAGGATGAGGTTGTGTGAGGCCATAGCACTCTGATTGACCCGGGAGGACACGTGACCAGTTAAGTTGACAAAGGGGCCCCAAGAGGGGGCGAGGGGGAGGTCACGTGATTGGGACCCAGGTCCTTCCCGAGGATTCTGGAAGGTGGCCGTGGCCAAGGGCGGAGCCGGCCACGCCACAGAGGATATAAGCCGGGTCCATGACTAATGTGTAAGAGATTCTCGCAACATTTTTCATATATGATATTTTTTCAATAACATTGAAAATTGTAAAACATTTTAAGATTTAAATACTTTTACAATGTAAACATTTTTAACAAATTTTATAACAAAAAATTCTGAGCAACAATTGTCCATCTTACCTTCCAGAGTTTTTTTTTTATAGCTCGCAGGTTAAATCAGGTGCCCAGGGTTTGTCTTGATCCCCGACAGGCATGCCGAAATATGTCTTGTAGGCCTGACACATCTTAGCGGATGCTTCCACAGAGTACTTTTTCGCTCTTGTCTTGATAAATTGGCCACAGCAAAATGCGTCTGCCGGATGCTTGCAGCCTCTTGATGCCATCTCAGAAAAATGCAGATATGTATCCACTTAGGCAGCTGGAACTAAACTGAACTGGTGGGCTTAAGGCACCTGTATTTATACTCCTATTTATATTACTGTAAAGTTCTCGAATGTTCTAGAAGTTACTCCAAGTTTACTCAGCACTGAATCTATCTGGAATGTTCTGGAAAATATCTAAATTTCAAAATATCACTGTCCTGGTCACAAAAGCAAAGTTTGTGGGGAATAATAGGCATTTTCTGTACTTTTGAGGCATAAGCAATTAGGAAATAACACTTACTACCCAGGAACAAATTTCGTGTTGGATATACATCTCTTGTACAGGGTGATGAAACGTCTCTATGCAATAAATGGCTCCGCACACAACCTTCAAACCATGAACTGAAGTGAATATGAAAAGAACCCATTTTACAACACATTACGTGCAGAAGAATTGAACAGTGCATCTCAGGACACGTGCTGAGGGTTAATGGTCAAAGGCTCCAAACGTTTGCAAATATTGTGAATCTATAATTTAAAAAACTGTTGTGCTGCTCCTTGTACATTGATCACACCGAAATGGAGCCATAATCTGCATGAAAATGACGTGTTATGTGAAAATATTTTATTTTACCAGATAAGGCCCACTGAGATATATAGCTCTTTTTCAGAAGCGACCTGGCCACAAATGGTAGCCCAATGAAGTGGCTTATCACGTGGAAATGTATAGAAGCCAAATACCCGAAGCGCATGTTTCTAAATGTGGAGGGAAAAACCGGACGACCCGGAGAAAAATTCACACGTCAACGGGGGGGGGGGGGGGGGGGGGGGGACCATGCAAATTCCAAATTTACAGGCGTCAGGGTCGGGATCAAACCCACGCACTCATGCATACCAGGTGAGGTAGTTAACACCTCGCCAAGGCAGTATAGCAAGTATGTTTCTTATGTTCTTACTTGGTTTGTGTGTTTTATCAGAAGCGTTCAACTTCCACCAATGTGTGTCGATAAAAAATGGGACAATCGGAAGCAGAATCCCCCATAACACGTTCCTTCGGAGTGGGCAGGTAGGAACTTGGTTGGACAGCGCATTCGTGCACGAGACAGACAAATAATCCCTGGTGGGCAAGTGTGGAACCTGTTGTTCCTACCTGTATACAAGATCACGTGACTTGAGGTAGCCAGGCAGCCAGCCAGGTAGCCAGCCCCCTTAATTATCGGCCCCTCCCTCTTGCTTAGGCACCTCCCCTTACCCCCCCCTCCCTTAGGCCCCTCCCCCCTTAGGCCCCTCCCCTGACCCCCCCCTCCCTTAGGCCCCTCCTCTGATCCCCCCCCCCTCAGGCCCCTCTCCTGACTCCCCCCTTCCTTAGGCCCCTCCCCTCTCCGTACCCGGCAGTAGGTCTCCACCAAAGAGCTGTTTATATTATATATGCACGACAGACAGTCAGACAGACAGACAGATAAATAATCCCTGGTGGGCAGTGTGGAACATTGTTCCTACCTGTATAAAGGAGCCTTGAGACTCAATGAGAACATTCCTGAGCAACAAGAGTCGCTCACTCATCACACACGCTAATGAATGACGCTACGGTTATAAAAGATGGTCCCAATAACAGAATTCTTAACTTCACAACATTTATTACTACAACTTCGCAACAAAGGAGTTCTCGTACACAAACACACCACATGCTACATGTACAATCCACTGACACATCAGCCCCACATTTCAATGCAGCTGTGCACCCCCCCCCCCCCCGCCTTACAAATTCACGCCTGCTTTTAAAAACTAAGCCCCCTTTAAATAAAGTTGTTAATCAACAGGATCCTGTGCTCTATCGATTTTAAGCAGTACATTGAGCAAGTGCACAAGCCAGATTGGAACACCAAATACAACTTACTGGATTATTGCGTCACTTCGTCTGTGTATAGTTTCCAGGCTTGGGTTGGGGTTTTTGAAGGATTAATTAGTTTAGGATAATTTACACACGAGCACTACAGGCTCAATGCTATTGCGATATATCAGATGCGCGTGCTATGACTGTGACTACCACGAGCAAGCAACACATTGTTGACAACTCACAAGATACGGTGGTAAAGTGCACTAGATAGTGAAATTATCAGCAAATACTAATTCCTATTTCTGTCTTTTTGATCATCTTTATTTAAGCACTAAGTCTGGACTGTATTTCAGAATTAAGAGTTACATTTTTTTGCACGGAAACAGATTTGTTGCCCAACGTTGGCAAAGCTTTGTGTTTCTCTTGGAAAGGTGAAAGGTAAAATAGATTTGCTGGGCTTGCACGTGCTAAATTGTGTTTTCTTTTTTTACCAACATGATGGTGGGATTTCCCCCAAAAACAAATACTTTGCATGGGTCCATAATCTTCCCTTTGTCCCCAGCTTTCTTTGCAGCTTTGCCGCTTGCTTCACCAAACAGACCTTTTGTTAAGAGCAAAACGGCTTCTTTTTTTCATCCTGCTACAAAGCAAAAAAACCTGGAAAATTCGACACAAACACAGAATTCAATAGGTTCCCAGCCACCGCAGTGGTCAACAGAGCACCTGAGGCTTCAGAAAATTAGGACACGGAGGCTGCATTTGACGAACATTTGTCTGCTACAGAGCAACGATGTAAAAGCAGAAATATGTGGAATACATGACTAAAGCAGCAGGGGATTGCCTATAAAGGGCAGATAATTTGAAAATGAATGTAATAAAACTCTTTCCATATTGAAGCCGTCTTTTGAAGAATGTTTCTACTTTTGATCATGCGACCACAAGCAGGCAATCAAAAATCCGTCTGCCTTCACATTTGAATACGATTTTTTAAAATACTGGGGATGCTTATATATTGAAGCTGGCTGCACAGAGGTTCAATGGCCACCTCAATGCACAAGCACCAAGTCCGTACCCGCGAGATCCTTGATTCTAATCCAGGCATCAACCATCTGTGAATAAGGTCAAGCATGCATGCATGTTAAACTTTTTTCGCACCGTACATAGCCAACGGTGCTAATCGGAGGTAGCGAGTTGGATTCATTTCCGGTCATCAAGGAGTGCATAAGAAACCCTCTGCTTCATATTAAATTATGTTTTAATTTAATTCAGCCTCGTCCTGCTCTGAGGACTAAATTTTACTGTAATCAAATGTGACAAACACTCTTCAGTCATTATGAAGTGGGCATGGGCATTAGGTTAGCAAAGCTTGAAGTGAATCCATAAGAAATGCTGTAATGTCATCTTCTGGTGCATATCCTAACACTTTCAAATTCGAAACATCTCGTCGACTAATGACTCAACTCCAACGGTACTATTTATGGTTATATTTGGTCATAGAAATATACCAAAAATGGCTTAGAAGCCAGAGACTCTACAGCATGCAGTTTGCTAAACTTTTTGACATCAACTGTAAGGAGACTCTCAATGTTCTGAGGTCTTAAAGTACAACCCGTATTCTAGAAATCAAAGGCAATGTTATTGGAGGTTGGCGACAGTTAGAGCGAAGATGACCACACATTGAGGAGATCGGGTTCAGTGACTGGAGGGCAATGTAAAAATTACGTATTTTTCCTGGCAAAAATCACGATTAATGTTGACACTATGGCAAGGCAATATTGACAAATACGAAATCGTGCCAGGAACTTTGTTTCGTGGAGAGATTAATGTATGTTTTACAAATAAATAAATGTCACAATTATTTATGCAATACATATACTTACTGCTTAGGGAAGCTGTGGTTAGAGTGGCTGGCCTCCATCATAAGGTTTTGAATTTAAATCCAGTCGGGTGTCAACTCAAATGTTTTCCATTTTCATTATCCTCAGCCATGATCTATCCATTGTTGGAAATGAGCACTGTAGTGAAATTTACCACTTCTGCCTATCATGATTTGTTGAGGCTTACAATGCGAGGTAAAGGATGTGTGAACAAGGATGTGCGAATAGAAGCGCATAGCCTTATATGGGCTAGAGGATGGATAAGGTTTGGCCTCAGATTAGGGTAGGGTCAAGGGTGTTCCTTGCAACACAATTATTTTGAACTGGCAGTATTTTGTACAGCAGTGCTGCCCCATTTTCATCATTTTATCGTGGAGATAAAGTACTTTGATTTGTGAAATAATAAGAGAAAATTAACCCAATACCTTTCCCTTGTTTGAAAATTATCACGTCAGTTTTACTCAAACTTCAGCCTCATATTCACATAAAGTGGCATGCCAAATGTGGCAACAAAGCACATCGATTAGCCCAGAAACATAATAAGTATGGTTTGTTTGAATGACTTGCATTCCAACACTTGAAACAGGGTGATTACCGGAGAGTCTGAACCAGAGATACTGAATACCGGGTGTCTTTCTGTTCATATCACATTCTATAACAAAGAACTGTCGCAAAGTGTAGCCAGCATTTCTCATGAGCTCAAACTCTGCTGGGCACAACTCAGGGAATTTGCTCTGTCGGGACATCGGGCAGCAAATGTAAGAAGAATACACGATGCAACGTTAATTCTGACAAGAGCTCCAAAATCTCATCCTCAAAGCTGCCACTAGCGACCACTGCAATCTGTCCACAGGTCACCTCAACAAAGCACCACTGGTTGTATCTGTGGTCACTGCAACCCAGTGATCACACTGCAATCAAAACAGTCAAGGAAATACATAAGGGCATACTGATACAATGTGCCACGTGTCCCACCTGCTCTAAAAAAACAAGATGGCATGCTAAAGCAATGATACACGAAAAATTACATTCGAATGAGGACTTTTTAGACAGAGAGCTTGAGATTGTTGCTGTGGCTCTTTAAAGATGGCAAATGTGAAGATTTATGTAGACGTGTTAACAGCTGCACGCACGGATGTCAAATCTTTAAAAAAGACACATCACAAGAAACATATGGCCCAGCACAATCTGCGACCGTAGCAGTACAAACGACTGGAGTGTTACTATCGGGTTTAGTGGTAGGGGTATTCGCTATGTCGAGCATAACACTGCCAACACAGCCCAGCATCTCACATGCAAAAAATGCGATACAGCATATCCACATGGAGTTAAGCATGAATAAATGTGGAGCAGTGATAGTTAAGCCACCAGCAAATGGAGTGGCTTCTTCGAACTGCAACAGCATCATGAAGCGATCCAGTTAAGCGCTCCTATCTTCCACCCCTCCATGTACAGTGCTGTATTTAATTACTAAGCCTAATTAATTGGAGGTCTATTTCTTTCGTTTTCAATAAAAGGAAACATTCCCTCATTTGGAAACGCGTATGCTGTCACTGGCAAATTAATCCATCCAACAAATATTTTTTTGTGTGAAACAAAAGATTTGCATAGCAACCCCTGTAACTGCACTCACATTTAGGTGCTTAGTGTTCAGCATATGCTGAGAATAATGTTGAGGTTTTTTACATTTACAGGGATCACCACGGAGTAAATGACTTACGTTGAATAAATAATTCATGTCGTGTGGCGCAAAAATTAATTTACCGGACAATAATTTTAAATCATCCCTCTACTTGTTGGTTTTTGATGATTTAGGAAATGAGAGGAACCGAGTGACCCCTAAAATAGTGGCAGGTACTGATACGCATATGAAGCAGATATCAGTGATCACATTTCTCGTAGCTTCGTTCTTTCCTTAATCAAATTGCTCACGGTCTTTATTCAGTTTATTAGCATCTCACCGTGCTCACATCTTAACGCAATTGACCATTCAAAATAAAAGCACCACGCAAGTTCACTTTTAGTCACTCTCCTCTGCTTCTTCCATCTGTTCGAATTTAGTGAAACAGGGAAGAGACTGGGTGCTTCCAAGTTCCCATTTGAAGCCATACTTTTGTGTGTGAAACACACGGAATAAAATTGAAGCAAAACATTTAACAGGGCTTTTTTGGCGACAACCCAATGAATCAATGCTTTGCATTAATTCAATACAGCTTCGACGCCCACCAATGCATCTATATATTGTGCTTTGGCCCATCTGTGCTCCAGGTTTAAACGTCCATTTATTGAGCTCGATGCTAATTTTAGAACTCTCCTGCTAATTACGTGCATTAGCATCGCCTCTGACTGCATCACGGTATGGCAATCCAGGATAACTAAAACAGAGTTTGCACGTACAGAGCGCTGTCCAATGGCTCGCGTAACCTCCATGTGGGACAAGTGTAATAAGACGAAACAGTGGCCTTTAAATTACGCAATATCGATTTCAAAACATTTATATCACATGGGGTTAGGGTTGTAGTTAGGCATAGCACTAAGTGACCGGGTTACAGAAGCAGCGATGGCATCTAGGTTATGTTTAGAGGTTAGTGTGTGGCTCAGGTTAAGGTCAGTTCAAATTAAATATTGGGCTAAGTTTAGTTCACAAGACAATGCATCTGCAGAAACTAGTTAATGCCAGGCAAGGTTACTATTCATATTACATTCAGCACACTTGTCTTTTACTTATTAAAGGTCCAAACGTTGTTGTTTCTGCATAATTCCAAGGCTCTACACAATTGTTTGTTCAGAAATAAATGTGGCTCTGCATTATAGGAGGTTATGGCTGTATTAGACAATTAGCCCTTAGACTATGGGGTTCGCCTTCTCTGATGTTTATAATATTAGATGAAACCAGGTTCTAATGTTTGGGTAATTCTTGGTAATTTTTTATGTATATACGACTGCACAAAAATATTCCCAAGAGACATATTATAGAAATTTATATTGTTTAATTGAATGTGGCCTAGTCCACCATGAAGAATAATTTTAGGCTAGTGCATTTGGATTGCATCGGTAATAGTTAGCATCAGATCGGACGGTGAGATGCTGTGTCTATCGCGCATGACTCACAAATGAGATTTCAAATTCTGGTTAGGAGTAAACCAAACCCATAACCATTATTCCATGATCAAATCGGCAGTGGGTTTTCCAGGAGACCAGCCTGTAATGTGGAATTTCCACTCCTGTTTCGGGATCCACAACTGAGATGAACACCATCCCCTTGCTCAGTTGAGCAGGGATATACATTGACTTGACTGATCTGGTTAGTATCAGAGTTACACTTTCTGGAGGCCAGTGTTATAGGGTGAATGTATGGGACTTAATAGGGCTTTTAATATTCGACTACGTTGCCGACAGGAATGAGCTTAGAACTTGGGTGCCTCAGCCGCCCGCCGAGCTGCCACGTGCTCCAGGTGCCCCTCAAGGTCCGAGATGTCGTAGCTGGTGCGGTACTTGGCCAGGATCTTGAGCATGGGTCTCAACTTCAGCCACCACTGCTCTGCTGGGATGCGTCGTCTGTGAAGGAAAACATCACCTGTTAGGCCTCAAGAGAGAAAACATTATTATAGAATATGTTTCAGAAAATAGCCCTTTTTCACAGCACATTGGTCAGCAACCTGCTTATTGTACTAAAATAAATACACTCATGTCAATTATCACTAGATAAAAAATAAATGTTCAGTTGATTGGCCTGTTCGTTTTTCTAGACTCGTGTGAACCAGCATATTTGTTAAAGCAACCGTTTTTTAGAATGGTCACGACCTTCTGGGTCTCATCAGCAAAGTAGGACAGAGTTAAAATAAGTTGAGAGAAGCCAGCAGGCTGATATCTTTATTTGGAGATACAAAGGGGGAGGTTGATATGTTCATTTTATTACCCATAACGTTCCACAATAGCGCAGAAAAGTGTTGTTTACGCTTATTGTACGGTCTCGCACAGACCACTTGACAGACCTGCAGTTTGATGTCTTAGGCATATGATGAGCTCAGCGTGACCCACTTATCGAATTGCATCTGCACATGGTGGTATTAAATTATATAGGTGTTTGGTGCCATTTTAATGCCTCTGACCATCATCACAATGGGTAAGGTTGAGAACAAATATTGCCTCTGTACACAGTTAACTAAGTAGCAAGGAGTTTATTTATGCAATTTTGCTTCTGGAGGCAAAATAATACAATTTGTTCCAATGACAGGAGACAGAGCATGCTCACTTGAAGGTCAGCAAATACAATCTTATACTCATGCACGTAAAAACACAGAATCTCATCCCATGATGCAAACAATCTGTTGACAAAAATGCTCTCAAGACCAACTCTCATCGCGAGGACACCGTTGGCCTTTGGCGTCTGTCAAGCTAACTGTTGCTCTAAGAATCTACAAGCTGTTCATAAATGCCACGGATGGATTTTATTTGCTTTAGAGTTAAAACGCAAAACCAATGGAGATAATGCTGAAAATGTATCTTTGAATTATATTAACAAGTTTGTATCAAACTTCTGCCTATGGTAGTCGGACAGATGGATGGATGATATAGATGTGCCAGAACCACGGTGCCTGAGATCTTGAGTTTGAATTTGGGTTTCAGCCACCTGTGACTCAGCTGCGTTCTCAAGTGCAGTTAGTTGATTCTATTCTATTTTGTATTTATAAAGCGCCTTTCACAAAGGCGCTTAACAATGCTTGCTGATTACAGTACAAAATGGCAAGATAAGGGATGGGGATCAGGTAGTGACTAGGGTTAAGGGAGCTTGGTGGAGGCTGCGGCGGTGGAGGCATTAAGGGCATTAGGTGGTGCTGGTAGGGGTAGCGGAAGATGAAGTGAAAAGGCAAGAGAAAAGAAATAGGACCTCAGGGTGAGAATCGGATGTGGAGAGGGAGTTTGTTCCAGTGTAAGGGGGCAAGCAGAGAGAACGAGCGAAAGCGAGATTGGCCGCAGGGTGGAGGGACAGCAAGAAGATGGGAAGCTTGTGACTGGAGCGGCTGTGATGGGACATATAAGGAAACAAGAGAAGACAGGTAAGGGGGTCCAGTTAATGCAAAGTTTTGAAAACTAAGTTGAGTAATTTAAATAGGCGGAGGTGATAGATAGGAAGCCAGTGAAGTTGTTGAAGGAGAGGGAAGCAATGAGAGGTGAATGGGAGGTTAAAGACAGCGGTGTGTGCAACGGAGTTTAATTTGTTGTAGAGGGGCAAGGGTGTAGGGCAGGGAGACCGACCAGGAGCGAGTTGCAATAATCCAGATGAGTGAAGAATAAGGGGAGTGCACAAGAAGTTTGACAGCGGTGATGATGATGAGGGGCCGAATTTTCCTGATATGGAAAAGATGGAAGCGGCATGTGCGAGTGGTGTTGGCGATGTAGAAAGTGAAGGAAAATGAGGAATCAAAAGTGACACCAAGAATTTGGATGGAAGCAATCACAGTTGGACTGAGCAGAGGGAAATATATGGATGGGGGATGAGTACAGTGGGTGGCGGGAAAGTAGTCTGGTCACAAATTACAAAAAAATCTCATGAAAACGAATTTGTTTTGCACAGAATCCAAGTCTAAAATCCCCTCTAAATAGTTTTTTTTTATTCTGAAACACTGTAAGACACGTGAGGTTGTGCCCACCGAGGGTGGATCCGAGCTTACTGAAGTGCGGTTTTTGTGGAAGATATTTTCTGGGGCAGTTGTCTGACATGATGTTATGCCACACTGCTTCACTGGCAAAATTCCAGATGAGATTTTGTGTCATTGCAAACAATGACACAAACTACAGAAATATTATACAATTGGAATAAAATTGTATATATTTTACTTAAAATCACAGCTCTTGTGCCCATGTACATACACTCACTGACTTACGATTGCATGCAGTGTGCACATTGCTATTCCTCACCTAGAAGCATGACAAATACGTATTACATTACGAGCCTAGTTACAACTGCTATGGATTGCTTGCACGCAAACACAAAGATCCAGATTTCAGCACAGTTGTCTAAGTACATTGCGAAATAAGTTAAATATCCATGCAGCTTTATTTAGTCTTGCAGACTGTCAGGGTAAGTGCTGTCCAAGTTAAAATGTCTTACTGGTGAAACAAGCAGGGTTGGAAATTACACATGGGCAAAATGCAGGCCAGTATGTCCTGAAGGGCAACTAGTGTCGATTTCTGACAAAGTAGTCGTCATTTTACCAACACTGGAGAAAATATGGGCTGTGTTGATCTGTAACCACGACTTTCAATTTACATCCTTCCAATTGTGAGACGAACATTCTGCTACAGCCTCATTCAGCCAGGCATGCAGTCAAATGGTTCTCAGATTTATCCATCTCAAACCTTCCCAGTGTTTTAAATACAACACATATATAACGATATTGTCAACAGTTTCTGGCTATTACCTTCGTTTAGAACAGCCATTGGCCAACATGTTATATGTGTACTGTTTAATTCTTTGGTTAAAATCAATGTGCACAAGCTGCTGAAGCCAAGTATATTTAATTTTCCCTGAACAATTAATATAGCCGCCACTTCCAGATTTTTTTACTAATAAATACGTCCAATTGTTTACACATACATATTACACTAGCAGGTGTACCCATTCTTCGCACGGAAAATAATAATTTATTCCTAGTTTAAAGTTTATTCAATGAATACCCGAAAAACAACGCGTGGAGGTGACCATGCGCCGTTTCTTATGGGGAGTTAGATTTGTCACGGCAGGCCCCCTTTGGCTACTTGCGTCATTGGTATACCATTATTCCTAAAGCAATGCTTCCTTGTAGACAATATTGCTCGTCTTTCCTGTAGGAGCTAGTATGAACAAATTGTCTTTGTAACTAGCTTTAGAGCAAGCCACATAAAGCTGACCATGAGAAAAGCATGAATGCTGTGAATCAATTCCAGCTACTTTGAATGACTGTCCCTGAGCTTTGGTAATAGTCATTGCCAAACAGGATTTAACTGGAAACTGCATACGCTTGAACTCAAAAGGAATAAGTGGTATGCGAGGTATTAATACGCATTGTCCTGCAGCACAGCCAGTTAATAATGTCGCCTCTATGACATAAGGTTTTAAGCTGTGCACTTGTAGCCTGGTTCCATTACAAAGAGTTGGAGCGTTGAGATTTTGCAGCAACATCATTGGGTTCCCGAGCTTGAGTTTTAGTCTGTGAGAGGGCAGGCCTGGTGGATTCAAGCAGTTAAGAAATTCGACATGGTAGTTAACAGCGTTGTCTTCTTTTAATGCAGCGTCTACTGATTCGTAGATCTTCTCCTCTCCTGGAATCTCACTTATGAGGTACTCAATTATTGCAGATGCTGTGTCATTCTTGGGTGTCAAGATAGCTCGTTCACAAAGCCACTTTTGAGACATCAGGTTAATCTGCCATACACCTGGAAATACGTTGGTGATTAATTCATCAAGGGTAGTTACCAATTGGCCCATACTGCTGGTAATATTAATCTCCCCATTATCCTCAGGTATTTTTCCATCACCTATATCTAACAGTGTGTTTGCAAACTCGCCACTTGACTTGTCTCCCTTGAGGTGAACCCTCATGTTTACGGTCAACGTTAGCTTTAGAACTTTGCTCCAAATTGGCGAACACTTGATGGAAGCCTGGACCTCATCAGCTCTCGTGCCTCTCTGAATCACAGACAGAGTTTGCCGGAAATCACCAGAGAGCACAACCGTGACACCTCCCATCAGCTTATGATTGTTCCTCAGATCCTGGAGAGTCCTGTCTAAAGCTTCAATAGCACCTCTTTGAGACATTGTGCATTCATCCCAGAAAATAACAGAGGAATCACTTAACAATTTGGACACAGCTGTACCTTTCTTGATGTTACAGGTAGGACTGTCCGTGTACCCAAGATTAAATGGGAGTTTAAATGCTGCGTGAGCAGTTCGCCCGTCTCGTAAGAGTGTTGCCGCTATCCCAGAAGAAGCTACTGCCATTGCTATCTTTTTGTTTGATCTAAATTTCGCCAGGATAAAATTTAATACAAACGTTTTGCCTGTGCCACCGGGAGCGTCTATGAAAAAAAGATTTCCTTGATTATCATCGACACTTGCAAGGATTCTAAAATAAGCGACATTGTGATCACTAACCAGCTTTGGTTCATTCTCAATAATAAAATGGAGTAATTCTGAGGCATTATATGAGGTTAACCCGCACATATTCGCTGTCAAACAAAACCTATTTATCACAGTTGAGGGAAGGAAAGCCGAAATCCTTAAGACTTTTAGATGTTATGGAATACAGCTTATCTTCAATCAGTAGCAGCCCTTTATTGTACACCTGATCGACATACTGAACAGGGATGTCAGGAAAATATCGTTGGAGGTGATGCAGTATGTCTTCTGTCAAGCTGTCTCTCTGATTTTGCCAGATCAACTGTGGGTCAGTCACGTTGCAAAGGCTGTCACCACAAACAAATCCCTCATCGCCGGCGACTCAGAGATGGCTGCGTCTTTGAGGGTGTCATTCCAGTGACTATCATCCTCGAGCAAACCAAGAGTTCTACATGCT